CCCAGGGAAGTGGTCCTCGCCCCTACCTTGGGTAAATTCAAGAGGAGGTTGGACAATCACCTGGCTGGGGGAGGTCTTGTGAACCCAGCATTCATTCCTGCCTGTGGCAGGGGGTCAGGCTAGATGATCTGTTCAGGTTCCTCCTGACCCTAGCTACTATGAAACTATGAAACTATAATAATCTTCCCAATACAGCACAATGAACAACCTGGGGAAAAGCCTAAAGACTTGAGGGCTAAATAGTATTTTAAAACATGTGAGAATGGTGCTCAGAATACATGGCTATACTTTTGCACCACAGAAAAGCTTAAAATATTCACAAAATAGAAATCAAATCTCTTTCCTTCGGTATTTTTTCCAGTAAAAAAATCCTAAGAGATCTGTGTGCAGATGGTGCAAATGTGCTAACTGTTGATTACTAGGGAAGTGCAAGTTTCCAAGTAATTTTTAACCCCTAAAGGTGGTCACTACAGGTTTAGGTAAACAGCAGGATTTTTAAAAGTGTTTAGTGCCAGCCTAACTACTTATATTAATGGCTAATTTGTGTGGGAGCAGTGTCAAATTAATACTGGGAATATCTACATGAGACACTATGTTGTCGTGGTGAAATAGCTTATAGCTATGGCAATGTAGCAGTGGCAGGTACAAATGGTAATGGCAATGCTATGTTGCCATAGCAATGAGCTACCTTGTTATAGCATGTCATTATGGTGATGTAGCTGCTAAAAATAAAAATGTTCCACCGGGATGGTGCAGTAATAGCTGTTATTACACTGTCATTTAGTACTTTAGCAAGGACTAAATAGGAGTGCATTGATAGATTTTTGGGGCTGATTTTTAGAGCAGCCACATCAGCCGATACTGATCTGATTCTGATATGCAGCCAGGCAGCTTGAAGACCAGTGTTGGGCTGGTAAGTCTGGTGTAGGGGAAGGGGTGGAGGGAGGGAAGGGGCATGGGGGTGCAGATTGAGGCTCCCATGGTGAGAAGCAGGTGCTGCTTAGCTGGGGCAGGGCATGGGATGGAGCAGCAAGCGGCTCGTCTGGAGGTTGCAGGTGGGGGGCGGCTCCTGCCCTGCACGCACCACAAGAGGGCATGGGGGGCAGTGTGTGCCTGCAGATCTACATGTGGGATGGGGTGGGCTACCACTGCAGGCTGGGGCCAGGGCCACACTGGGTGCTTCCCGGCAGGAAGCTGTGCTTGGGGTGGGTGGTGGCAGTGCTTGAAGGGAGCGGGGTGCAGACACCCCAAAACTGGCCACATCAGGAAGAGCCTGGCACTGCCCTCAGTCCACAGTGGCAGCCCACCCTGCCCCATGTGCAGATCTGAGGCCACATGCCCCCATGTGTCCTGAGGTATGTGCAGCAGTGGGAGCTGCCCCCACCCGACCCCGGCACCCCCTAGATGAGCCCTTCGCAGCTCTCCCCCATGGCCTGCCCTGGCTGGTCAGTGCCTGTCCCAGCCTCACTGTCTCCCTCACTGCAGGCATCTCGATCCAATCCTGCCCCCCACCTTCCCCCTCCCCACACAACATCCTTACCAGACAGATGCTGTTCTCCAAGCCACTGAACTGCACTCCTGGCTGTGTGCATACTGCACCTGTGTGCATGCATGGTGCATTTATTGGCCACATCAGGCAAAAAAAACGATTCCCAATACCGTTAATTTTCCCTATATCAGTGCCAATCCAATATGGGACTGATGTATGAGTGAACCTCTAGTACTGAGCAACTGCACCATGGAGGCACATGTCGATGCGCCCACTGAGAGCCTTAGAATGCTTTGCCTCTGAGTACTGAAACCTGTTTGTGCAGCTGTGGGTAGGAAGATCAGGTAGGAAGAAAGATTTCTCAGACAGTTCTACAAATTCAAAGCTAACACTTTCTCCATTTATTCTTCTTCTGTTTCCCAACTTCCTCTCCTCTCCCCATTTTTTCAGTAACAATTGAACTGTGTTCCCTATGCTCAGCGCTGTGTCCTGTTTGGAATTTTCTCTCCCACAACTTGGAGGTACTTAAAAAATCATTTCCATTTTTTTTCCTTACACCACACCAAAAGTCTGACTTCTCCTTTGTGTTTTTATTGCTAAAACCCTTCTTCAGGCACCACTTATTTTTAATTTTCACTATCACAACTCCCTTCCTCCTTTGCTCTCCTTCTCCCCCATTCAAATTACTGCAAATAAATATCACCTTCCTCTCTCACTGATCCTGCCATGCGACACTGCTCCACTAAAGCCTGAGCATTAAGGTCAGTCTCCTTTTTCCCACTTTCAAGATACTTGCACAGCTCTCTCCCTGACTATTCTAGTTATCATTTCCCTCAATTTCCTCCTGTCTATCCCTCCACAGTTAGTATAGTTACTGCTCCTGATGGTTTTTCTCCCAATCAGGACTTTTTACCAATTTTAGCCACTCATCCACCTCAAACAGCTTATTTCCTTTGACCCTTTTTCCTTTTATTCTTCCCCCCGCACCTTGGCTTCCACAATTAGCACTCTTACTATTGTGATTTCACAGTTGTATTCAGATACAGCCTAGAGAAAATAGATTAAAAAAAAAAGAGACAGTATCTAAATTCTTGTAAATTAGTCCCTTCATACAGTAGACTTTGCATTTCCTTAGTTTTCTCTTGACTGTCCTTCCTTCTACTGGGTTTGCCATATGTATGCTACCCATTTAATTTTGAACTTCATTCTACCAACTTCAAGTTACATAATATCTGACTCCTTGAGAATCTCACTGAATGTAATGGGTTTGAGTAACGATCTACTATGCAATGTGAACAAAGGTAGCAGAATCTTGCCCCTGGTCTGCAAAATCACTGGGACATCTCTTCAAAAATCATGTCTACTCTGCATTCTCATTGTAACAGGGTGGCCATTGTAACGGGGTGGCCTCTTCATGAGGTCTTTGCTGGCTGTCCTGTTCCTGGGGTAACCTTCTGCTTCACTCGTCTGCCATGCCTTGATGGAAAAATATGAGAGTTGTTACTAAGATGGGAGGCTACCCATTACTGCCCTGCCGACCAGGCCTAATACCTGCTCTGACTGCCCCTACACAGGTTCCACGCCTCACAGATGTTAATTCTTTGGCCTGGGCACACAGTTGTAGCTCTTTTCACTGTCCCAGAGAACCACTCGCATGCTACCCCTCTCTCACCGGGGTCCCACTCACTCCACTAGCTCTCACCCAGCCTTTTTCATACTGCCCTCTGCCAGGGGCCACACATGCCACCCAGCATCACCTGGCTTCAGGCTTAGCTCTCCTCTTCTCAGTCAGCCCTGGCGCAGTCTGTTGGCTATCTCTGTTGGCTAACCTGAGCGTTGACTGAACGATTGTATGACTATAGGATTATTTCTCTCCTAGCCCCTTGCCAGGCCATTATGCCCCCACTGGGTCTCCTCACTCACTCACACTCACGGGGCCACTCTACTCAACAACCCTCTCACACAGGGCCGCTCTACTCATTACCCCTCTCACATAGGGTCTGACTCACGCCCCCAAACTTTCCTCTGCCACCTGGGTGCAGCCCCAGGTCCCTCCTCTGGCCTGAGCTCTGCCCCAGGGTCCTTAACTGAGCCCTGGGATCCACCTGCTAGAACACCACCAGGGATTTGGGGTTGGGGTTATTAAGGCACCCGGACATGCCTTTCACCAGGGAGGTAACTAGCCTTGCATTTCCTTGGGGCTCCCACCCGACTAGAAGCCCCTCCAGACCACCCTTTCAGCAAGGTGCAGTTTTATGTCTTACCCAGGACAAGGGGTCACCTCCTTCCCATAGCCCTTGCTCTTACCTCCTGACTCTGGCCGGAGCAGCCTCTCAGCCTGATGTTTCTTCCTTCCTTCCTGCAACAAACTGCAACTCAGTTTATATCCCTGGGCCAAAATGGCTGCTCTCATGAGGCATCTGGCTGCTGGCTGTTTGCTACTCTTACAGTGGCAGGCACCCTAGGTGCCCTGCCACAGCCATCCATACCAGTGATGCTCCGTGTGTGAAACAAATGATGCTCTGCTTAGTATTTTGTTAAATATTTCCAATGTTATATTAATATAACATTTAAGTCAGACTAAAAAGAGTGTATCAACTTTTCTAGTGTGAAATATACTTATAAAAAAAGAAAATGTGAGCAATCAAATATTAATATTGTGCTTGATCAGATCAGTTTTCATTTACCATTATGTAGATGTGATCTCAGCACCTATACAATTCTTTCTCTGCCTCTGGAAGGAGAACACCTTTTCAGTTTATGAACTTTGTAAAATTTTAATGGGACTTTCAAATTAGCAATAACAACCCCAGAGGGAAAGATTTCGACTCTGGCAATTACACTTGGCTTTAAAGTACAAAGCAAGGGAAAAATCTGGAAAGAAAATCATACTGGTATAATTTGCCTCTGTGAATGTTAATCTTCAAAGTGGAAAAGCATTTAGTGGGGGGAGAAAGCTCACTGCCTTGTATAAACTGCAAACAGTTTACTGTCCTTGATGCAAATCAGTTTGCTAAGAACTAGAAAGCCAGCTAAGTACACGGTTCAAATATGAGTGGAAACGCTTGGGGCAGTGTGCTTTGAGTATAATAATATTCTCAGCCTGAGAAATCTTACAAAGTCTTGTTTTTGTGAGATCCACATGAACCCAGAGAACTTTTAGAGATCAGCAGATTTTCTTGGACTTACAGGACATGCAGTGATACTTTGCTCCCACTGACTCATGCTCAGACTTTCTTCTAGGGTTGTGCATTTCTTCATCACCATGTCCCAGCCGCAGTAAGGATCCTGAGATCCAATACATGAACTGAAAATACAAACCAGAACAATCAGACAAAAGTATGAACAGTCACCTTTCACTACACATGCCAACAGTCCCTGAAAGGAAGCATTTCCTCATACTTTATAAAGCTAAAGAAATACAGCAAAATAAACACTAGTAATTATTACAATGAGCTTTGGTAGAGTGATGGGGAGACAGAAGGGAAGAATGCCAACTGCAGTAATAAATGACAAGAACAAAAAGCTGGATTCTCACAAATACAGAGCTAAATTTATCCTTCTGTATCGAGTATGTACTGAAAATTAGTAATCATTGAAGTGCAGCAGCCAGTAATTTAAAAATCTATGTTGTCAGCTTGTTAAGTTTAGATTTCAGAAGGCAGGTTTCCTATGCTTTCATTCTACTCTGAAACTAGTTATCACATTAAAAATGCCTGGGAAATATATATACAAAAGCTACATTAACAGCATGTGATTTAGGCTGCCAAGTCAAACACTCAAAAAGCAAGGAAATATCTGATTTGTGGTTCCCTGTACATCCTGAATTCAGTTATTTACTGCATGGACATAATGATACCATCTTTAATTACAATATCACATACTAATTTTCCACAGTTCCAGCTCCTGTGTCTTTATGTAAATCTTCTCATTTTTTGTTTTTTTGCAGTTACATTTTCCTTACTCCTTATCTTTTTTTTTATCCTTTTCACTTCCAAGCTACAGTATGAAAAATATGCATTTAAGAAAACAGGAAGTTACCTCATTGTACATAGGAAACAATAAAACTAACTGCAAAAAGGGCTGTCAAAAGTGTAGAGTAAGAAAATGGGGAAAGAACTGACAACTCCCTCTCTAACCTCATTCATTTAAATTAATCTTTGGTGCAATGGTAGGAATAAAAGGTGAATCTTTTCAACAGGATCGGGGATTTAACTTGAGTGGTCTTTTAAACAGGCACTGCCTAGCTCACAGGCCTGGAAAATGCATTAGCAGCCCTGCATCTCTAAAAACTAGGCTTGCTCTGGAGTTTTATCAGAAGTGAAAATGAGTTTGTTCAACCTAGTCCCCAGTGGGCATTCATAGTCATCTCAAAGACTTTGCACTATTTACTATAACTGACACAACCAAAAAACTTTGCAATTAGGGATATCTAGGAACAAAAAACAATAAATTGGTTCATTATAACACACTCCATTTCTTCTAGTGCATCTTATACTGTGGCTGTTGGACCAGTAGGGGACAGATATTATCCCACCTATTAGATACATAAGTAGACTTAGATGCCTAAGTGTGATTCTATTCCACCCTGTTCAAATCTCTAAAAAACAGGTGGTGCAAAATATGGGTGGATCCTCTTTCTCCTCAGCACTTTCTTGTGGCTGTACTCTAATGGTCAAAAATGTATATGCTCTAATGGATCTTCATGGCCTTGAACAGTGTGGAATATTGCTGCACAGTGACCAAGTTTATTTAGATACCCAACAGCTGGAATAGAATATGCCCCCCATTGCTTATTGTAAATGTCTGTGCTTGTACTGCTGCTTTTCTATTAAATTAGCAAAAGTGCA